CATACATACACACATACATATATACACACAGACACACACACACAGACAACCCCTCGACAATATGCGTTTTTGCATTGCATGGCTGCAAAAACGCATAAAAACGACCATCAAACGGAAATTGCTCATTTTCTTTATGCAATATTTACAATGATTTACGCTAGTGAGCGCACACGGCAGGTGTAAAGTAACAACCATTCATGCAGTTAACGATCTGACCGCTTCAAATTTAATGTAAAAACGTATGATCGCACTGGCAAGCCAGGTGCTCTAGCCTGCGGCTGGTGATCAAAATCCTAAGAAATTCAACTCACTATCTACACAAAGCGCATTTGCCAGTGTTTGAAATTGGTGGCTTTGCAGAAGATCTTCCAGAAACATTCTGGTATCAAATTCTGACACTCTTAAATTTCTTTCTCCATTAAACACATTTCGCTAAATCTGTGGAGTCATCGAATTTTTTGACAATAAATATTCAAAAAATTCAATATCCTTTTCGGATCAAACAATTTTTTGTCATTTCTATGACCTACAGGTTCGATAGTTTTCAGTGCCATTTTGGAGCAAAAGAAAGTTTTGCCAATGATCAAAGCTGTTGGGTTCATTCAGCTAACTTACTGTAGTTTTTGGTGATCAAAAGCCTAAAAAACTCCACTCTATTTCCAGAAAAAGCATGCTTTGTTGATTTTTTAAATTAACGTGTTTGCTCGAGTCCTCCTTGGAACATTTTGGTTCTCAAAACCCGAAACTGTTCAATTTTCTTTCTGCATTAAAAACATTTGCCTAATCATTAAACTCTGTGGATCCACAGAAATTCTGACACTAAAGGTAAGAGAAAAACTGCAATTTCATTTCCGAATAATAACTTTTTATCGTAACCAAGGTCTACAAGTCAATCCGCACACAAACTTCCTCGAAGTTTTTGCCTATCAAAATTCGACACTGTTCAAATTCATTTTTTGTACTAAATATGTTTTGCTAAAAATTAGAATCAGCGATTTCATTGAATTTTTTGATAAATAGTGCCCGAAAAAAACTCAACTTCGTCTCCGGATTTTTTGTTTCTCTTAAATTTTTGAATGGAGTACTTTTCCAGCCTTCACTGTGCATTTATTTTTCTGCCTAACATTCATAAACTCATACTCTTTACCTCACCCTCTTTGCCTCATAATCTCTCCTCCTGTCTTCAACTCCTTTCCAGTTTACGTTTCAATCTTCCTCTTTCGACCTATACCATTTGCAGCAATTCCCGCCCGCTCCTTTCCCTCCCC